GTCCGGGCTGGGGATTCGAACCCGCCACCTTAGGTGTACGTGGCTGGCGCCTTAGCCGGTTGAGCTATAGGCGCCGAGCCCCGGCTATTTTCTTGGTTGCAGCCATCATCGTTGTTTGGCGGGCCGGGCTGGATTCAAACCCACCACCTTAGGTGTATGTGGCAGGCGCCTTAGCCACTTAAGCCACAGGCACCAAGCCCAGCCTGTTATTCTTGTCTCATTAGTTGCAATACCTTGAGCAAGGGCAAACTTCACAGGTAAGAAAATTAAGAGGCTTGCCCTTGCTCAAGGTACTGCAGCTAATGAGAGAGCCAAAGTTTCTTAAACATTGGGTACTCGTGTGCTTGTGGACGTTCTCAGATTTGGTAGAAAGTGGTACATGATTTGAAAAGGAAAAAACTGTGTGTGTGTGTGAATGTGTAGAGTATGTGTATTTAATCTGGGAGCTTCATGCGTGACTATTAAGCAAAGCTATACTAGGGCCTTCTACTCTCACATGCACCATACTAACGACGTGCAAGGAAAACCTGGCGCCTCTACAGAGGGCCCTTCCTGAAGGGACTTCAGACTCCCAGCCCTGCATGCTGTACCACCACCTTAATGCTTTACCTCCCTAGTACTGAGGTAAAGAGGCAGGCAATGTCCTGAAGACATCCCACTTCCTTGCAATGGCCTGGGTTCCACACCAGAGTGAGCGAAATCCAGTATAGATAACATTTCAGCCAGCAAGCAGCTTTTGATTATACTGCTTTTGTTCTCTTATTCTCTCAGTTTGTATTCCACCACCCCACCCCACTTCTTAGAATGGTTATCTTCACTACATGAGAATCTACTTCACACAAACACAAAGTAGCAAGTAGATACTGTTTTCTTTGCTAGCATGCCTCTATGCAAGCTCCCAGATATCTGATTTTTCTTCCCACTAAATGTCATATTTATGCCAGAAACCGAAATCATGATTCTGAGCTAAGTTTGTAGTACCCTTTGATGTTGCAGGCAGCCCTGCCTGGGAGAGAGTAGACCCCCACTTCCTAGAGCCCTACTTGAGTAGGGTCATACTTGTACCTTCCTCGGAGAAGAGAAAATCCTGCAAAGAAAACTAATGGAAAGTGGTGTTGTACCATTGTTGTGCCCTTGTTCCAGCCCAGGCAGGGGAACTGTCAGAACTAGAGTTGCTAAATAGGCCCTTTTAGTCATTTTCTTATTATGTATAATAAAATATATGATAGCAGATAGAATTCAGTTCAGGCTCGGTGCCTGTGGCTCAAATGGCTGCAGCACCAGCCAATACACCTGAGCTGGCAGGTTTGAGTCTAGCCTGGGCCCGCCAAGCAACAATGACGGCTGCAACCAAAAAATAGCCAGGCATTGTGGAGGGCGCCTGTGGTCCCAAGCTGCTTGGGAGGTGGAGCCAAGAGACTTGCTTGAGCCCAGGAGTTGGAGGTTGCTGTGAGCTGTGATGCCACAGCACTCTACCCAGGGTGACAGCTTGAGGCTCTGTCTCAAAAAAAATAAAAAAAAGAATTTAGTTCAGGGGACTAGAAGTCACAAACTACTATACTGGCAGTAATTTTTCTTTGCCATATAATGTGGAATAAAATTATAAATTGGGCCAGATGCAATGGCTCACACCTGTCATCCCAGCACTTTGGGAGGTGACGCCAGGAGGATTGCTTGAGGCCAGTCCAAGACATGCCTGGGCAACATAGCAAGACCATATCTAAAAAAAAAAAAAAAAAAAATAGAACTAGCCAGGCATGGTGATACACAGCATGGGTAATCCTAGCTACTTGGGAGGCTGAGGTGGGAGGATCTCTTAATCCCAGGAGTTAGAGGCTGCAGTGAGCTATGACCAGGCTATTGCACTATACCCTTCTTGACAGAGAGACCTTGTCTATGAAAAAAAAAGTTATTAATTATACTCTTGCAGGTTGTAGTTATATCACAAAGCTCTACAAGATCTACAAGATGTGGCCCAGACCCTGCTCTTAACCTCTCTGACACAGTCCCCCCACCTTTCTTTCTGCTCTGTCCACGTCTTACTCTTTAGGGCCTTTGCATTTATTATTCCCTCTGCCTATTACATAACATCCCTTCTATACCAGCCTGTTTCAACTCCTCACCTCCTTTAGCTTACCACTCAGATATGTCTTTTCAATATAACCTATTTTTTTTTTTTTTGAGACAGAGCCTCAAGCTATTGCCCTGGGTAGAGTGCAGTGACAGCTCACAGCAACCT